TCCTAATGTTTGAAAATGGCAAAATTTACAATAAGATATACATGTTTAAAAGAGGGGGGGGGAACAAATTTCCAGCCCTCCTCCAGTTTGCTGAGGAGGCAGAGCCAAAATGTGATTAGCCCCCAAACAAATCTACTGTGCCTTTTTTAGTGTTTTACACTGCAATTCTAAACAGAGTTATGTTGACTTCATTAGTGTAACTTTACTAAGGACTGCACTGTTAGTTTTCTAGCTCATCCAAGGGCCTGGAGCACAGCATAATGTGTAGAAAGCTGAGTCCAATCCAGTCACATTCTGATTTGTGGTTACAGTGCAACACAAAATTGTTTCAAACATGCCTGGGCCTATGGGGTTGGTGTGGGCGAGGTGCCCTCCTCTTTTGTACAGGCCTTTTGCTCAATGGGGGAAGATTAATTTTACTTTGGAGGGAGGGCAGGTTTCCTGTAGGCCAAGAGATGTGGTGTTCCCTCCCTCTACTCCTATTGGGGTTGGCTTTCAAGAATGGGGCAGAGAAACTAATGGATCTAACTGTTCTCCATTTTTTTGCTTGCAGAGGTCTCCGGGCAACAGCAAAAATCACATACCAAGCCGTACTGCTGGAGAATGTGGTATGCAGTCAGTGATGGAGAAGGCTTTGACTCTCTCACTAGAGGACTTGCATAGTGTATATTTGTATCCAGTCTTTTCACTTGTTTGTTACTTCTGTGGTGTGTAAAATTGCTTTGCAAGCCACTGGCTTGTTTCTGTATGTCAGCATGCAGTATCTAATGAGGCCATACTATAGGTGCGTGTGGATGGCATGCTATGAGCACCAGAGTGGGGAAGACTGGGTGGCATTAGGTCAGTCACTCTGTCACAGCCTCTCAGGGATGGAGGAGGGAGAACCGCATTTGCTTCTTGGAGGGAAGGTGGGATAAAAATGTGGGGAAAGCAGGGTGTGATCTGCTGGCTTCTTTATACTTCACTATAAGGTGGTTTCCTCTGGCTGTAGATACAACTAGATCTGTTAGAAACAGATGTTGTGAAATCTTCCTGTGTTTACGGATATGCGGATAGTCTGGACTCTTGCATGCTAAATGTTCCTTTGATCTTTACCCTTGCTGAGTCTGTGGATACATTTCTGCATGTTTCATTTCTAGGGGGTGACTTTGACCCTGTGGTCAACCTGTGGCCTCTCCCGGGGTGGCCTGTATGGAGAATGGCAGGGAGTCATCTGTACAGGAGAGAACAGTTCGAGAGTCCAGGTTTGTGTCTCTCTGAGGTGCTCTGCATAAAGATTTTGGACACAGGGGTCCTGGGAGGCACACAAGAGTGTGATGTTCCTCTCCCCGCCCGCATTTGCCGTAAATGTCATCATATTTAATGTTATTCATTAGTGATAATGTAAATTATTGGTTCCTTTCCCTTTTCTTTGACATTGCAGTTTCCATATCATGAGTTTTCTCAAAGGCCTCTGGGAGCTGTAGTTTTATGAAAGCGCAGCAAATTCTGTCCCTTCACAGAATTACAAGATTAGGGATCCAAGGCTAGGAAATTGGGCAGTTAATTTGTCTTGAAGTTTGGTGAAATTTATAGTGTGTACATGACTGGTGCTGCGGCAAGTAAAACATTTTTGCTGGCCCCTATAGCTCTTTTGAGCCATTTTAGCATCTCATTCATAGCAGAGCTTCCATCTGTAGAACTGAAATAATTAAACAGTATTATATTGCACTGAAGTACATTGTGTTATTATTCTTCTAGCTGTCAATGGATGACATTATTGGCTCTTATTACAGTTTTGGTAGATTCCCTTTACAGTGGGAATGTTTTACCCTTCCCCCCAATCTTTTAGGTCTCAGGTTGCATTGATAGTTCCAGTAGACATAATAGAACTATTCTGAAGGTATCATAGGTTGTTTTCCTTCTCCTCTCAAAAAACATCCCATCACCCTGACTCCTTAGAGTGCAATTGGCTACCAGAAAGGATAGGCCACCATTTCATATTTTATTATATTCTAATAAAGCTGAGAGCTATGTACTATAGTGGATACTTTCAGACTGGGACCAGAGAAACCTGGGTCAGGACTGGTCATCTTGGACCAGTCACACTTTTATACTAATCTACCCCACAGCATTGTGAGGATAAAACAGAGACTCTGTAGGCCTCACAGGAAGGGTGGAATGAAAACAAGACAGATAATTAATTACCTTATGGCTGCTTTTTACTGTGGCTTTTTAATGTTGCATTCCTTTTATATAACAACACTGCTACCTCCATGTCTGTTTTAGACTTATTTTTTAAAACTATCACTGATATTTAAGGGGGGGGGGAACCTAAGCAGAGTTACCCCTTAGAAATGTATAACTCTGCTTGAGGATGCCACTGTTTGTTGACGTTTATCTGGTCTTTGAGTCATCCTTCTTATATGGCCTTTGCAGAAGTACCTCCAGCAGCTATGGAACGCTATCCTGCTGATTGCTCTAATCCTGTGCACAGGAGTGATTGTGCAGGCGCAGCGGCAGTCCCGACATAGCCAGCTGGACCAAGACTCTGAGGTTTGTCCTCCACCACACCCCATCCTGCTCATTCAGAAGAAAGCTTGCAGGGCATTGCTGGAGGGGCCTAAACCTGGTTTTCCCTTTTGTAGCTGGACCTGAAGCAGCACATTGCACAGAGGCTGTCGGCCCTGAAAACCCGCCGTTACCACCCCGGCAAGCTGCCTCGGAGCTGGGCTCATGAGATTGACAGCTGTGCCATCTGTCTGGACAAATTTCACAAGAACCAGGTAACATTTGGCATGGGACAAGAATGTGTCTCAGAAAGCAGTAACATTAATATATAATTAATATATAACCATAACTTTAGACTGAGAATCCCTACGTGCCCCAGACCACGGTTTAAAAACCACAGAGCTATGTAGGTTGACTTGCCCCATGCCCCCACTTAGTTAGTTAGTTTTATTATTACGGTCTTAAGACCAGCATACAATATAAACATAATATGATAAAGAGAGAGAAAAACCCACAGAGATAATATACAGAGTAAAAATCTAAATGTAAAAACTTTTAAAATGCGTTTCCCGCAATCTAAGAATCAGTGCACAAAACTCAGGAACTAAATGTGTAATCTCTGCATTCTTATCTGATAGAAGCCAATGAAGCCTTGCTTTGTTTGTATTAATGTGACCAGTTATCCTATCAACTAATGGGGTGCCCCCACTTAGTTGCATTTAGAAGGTCCAGGTTCAGTCCCCAGCATCATCAGTTAAAAGGATTGCAACAGATGCTGGGGAAGACCTTTCTCTGCCTGGGACTCTGGAGAGCAGCTGCCAATGACAGAAGATGATACTAGGCTTAATAGACTTGGAACAGCGCAACTTCCTGACTTCCTGGTCTCCTTTCAAATGGGAGCCGGAAACTGTGTCTCTCCTATTTTTTCCTGTGTCCATGTGTTGAGCTGTTTGTGGTGCAAGGCTGGGCCTTATAACATGAGAAGCCATGTTGGATCAGGCCAGTGGCTCATCCAGTTCAACACTCTGTGTCACACAATAGCCAAACCACAGGTGCCATCAGTAGGTCCATCAGCGGGGCCAGAACTCCAGAAGCCCTCCCACTCTTGCCCCCCAAGCACCAAGAATACAGAGCATCACTGCCCCAGACATAATGTTCCCTCTATACCTCTGCTCCATCTGTTTACCCAGTCCCCTCTTGAAGCTGTAGCCACCACCACTTCTTGTGGCAGTGAATTCTACGTGTTAATTACTGTTTGGGTGAAGAAGTACTTCCTTTTATCTGTTCTAAGCTTACTGCTCATTAATTTAATTGTATTGTGAGAAAGGGAGAAAAGTACTTTTTTCTCTACCTTCTCTATCCCATGCATAATTTTGTAAACTTCTATCATGTCATCCCGCAACCATTGTTGCTCCAGGCTATAGAGCCCTAACCTCTTTAACCTTTCTTCACAGGAAAGGTGTTCCAACCCTTTAATCATTTTTGTTGCCCTTTTCTGCACCTATTTTCGGGTCTTGCCATGTACCTGGTGGGGGGAGTGTGTGTCAAATTAGATGGCAGCTTGCCCTTTCCCCGCTGATGACCTGACAAGCAAGGTGCCCAACCCTGTAGAGAGCAACCTGCTTAGTTTGCCATTTGGCTTGTGTAGCCCAAGTCTTCAGCACAGACTCTGTCCTCCTCTGCTTGCTTGACAGTGTCTTCGAGTGCTACCCTGCTTGCATGAATTTCACCGGGACTGCGTGGATCCGTGGCTCCTCTTGCAGCAGACCTGCCCCCTCTGCAAATACAATATTCTGGGTAAGATTCCCTGCCCACCCCTCACCTTCACTGTAGGAAAGTCAGCAGCCACCAAAATATTCTGTCCTGGTCCCACTTCTTCAGGTTACTAAGCCAGACCCACAGCTGCCCCCTCTTGCTTTCCATAGTCCTGCCTTGAGGAGCTGGGCGTGAGAACTGAGCAGGTGGAAAGGAATGGTGCTTCTTCCAAGCCTGCCTTAAAGTCCTTGAATTCCAAATGTGTTAGAGGTGGCTGTGATTATGTGGGACAAAGAGAACAAAATTTAATATATTCCTAGACGCAATATTTATTGTAGCTTCATACACTCCCTGGTTTCAAAACCCGGTTTCCAGGTTTGAACCTTGCGTTGAATACTGATGTGAGTTTGTTTGATGCGCTCTGCTATTTTATGATCCCACAACTTATTCTGGGTAGAAATGTCACTTAGGGTTAATCCTAATCATGTAGCTGCCTAGATCTGCACTACAACCAGAAGGTCATCCTCTCAGGCAGTTGTCAGGAGGTGGCAAAGCCAGGATGTTTTTATACTCCATATTTCAACTTTTTGTAAGACACACTTAAAAAAAAAAAATTAGGTTGATGGGAGGACACTTTGCACATGGTTAGAGGCATTTGTCCTTATATATTTAAAAATGTGTAGCTTCCCATCAAAAGGAAAGTGCTCAGTGCCTTTTTGGGAAAACTTTGCTCATAGGTCTTTGCTACAAACAAACTTGTTTTTTGTTCAGGAAAGAGGAACTATGTACGTTCTCAGTGGGTTTGTGCTACCCTTCCTGGGCTTACATGATCACCTTTCAAGAAAACAACATGACAATAACTACCAAAGCCCGTGTTTCTCTACCCTTTCCCCTTTCACTGCAAAACAGAGAAACAACAGCTGGTCTGAGACCATCACTTGGGAGGCAGGCGGTTAGTTCATCAGTCAACGAACGAGTGACCCTTGGGATCCCTGCTCTTCTAACAGAAACCCTCCTTTTCTCTGCTTTTCAGGAAATTGCTGTGGGGATAGCTAGCAAGACTGTGGCCCTTCCTTGAGGACTGTTCTGCCGGCACTCCAGGAGAAAGTGGTGTGGGAGGGAGACAGACCGTTGACCCCTGGAGCCTTTTGGATGGCAGCTGCTTAGGGCAGTGAGGAAGCAACACACTTAGCACTTTGGGCTTCCTTGAGATGGTAAATGTACGTATGTAAAATAGTGCGTTCATCTGTTCTTGGACCCAATTGTTTGTCTTCACTTTGGATTGAATTCGTTGCCCTTTTGGTGTGTCCAGTGGCATAGCCAGATGGTATGAGTCCTGCTGTACCAATAGGCTTGGCTATGACGGGGATGGCCTGGGGTCTCTTTCCTTGGGGGAATGAGACTTGGGCTGCTCCTTTTACTTTCACGGTCACTTTACTCAGAAATTCTGTGGGCAGGAAGGGTTCCCGAGGGGTGGGTGGTTCAGATGGATTACCAGTGCTTGCTAATTTATACTAACTTATTACAGAAGGGCCTGACTGTATCTGCAGGCTGAGCAATACTGTGGAGGTGCTGTACACTCAGCCCCAATTGAGTTGCAGAGTTCAAAGCACCACTTGGGCATGTAAAGCCCCCATACTAATAAAAACCAAGCAAGGAGCAATGTGTGCTGGTCTTTATGTCTTCCTTCCCTTTTATCGCTTCTTCCCCCTCAATATGAGAAGACCCTGCCTTTTGTTTATTTCTGTATTGCCTCTTGGCCAGGAGGCTCTCAAAGCTTGTCAAGGTCAGGCATGGACAGGGTGGGGAAGACAACAGGAATCCCCAAGTGGGACAGAGGAAGTTCCTCAGCACTGAACAGAGTCTCACTTGAGGGCCAGTTCCTACTTTCATTTATTCCCAGGCCTTCTTTTAAAGTCTAAATGTGCTGGATCCAGGATCCACCATCCCCTTTTGCCACTCCTGTTAAGGTTATCAGAGGAAACATTGTTCTAGGACAGTGACTGAAGCATCACGGAGTGTCATCTGCTGGTATAAGAGGGAGGGAAGTGTGTTTCTCAACAGACTGACAACCCAGGCATCCTTTATTTTTATTTTTCTGAATTCATAATTATATTTCAAAATGTTTACTTCTGTAGCATGAAAGTGTAAGAAAAGGCCATCCCCTCTGTTTTCTCTCTGTGCATGCTTCCTCACTGGAAAGATGCTAACATGAACTTGTGCAGAGATGCTATACGCAGCCTCCTTTCAGGACAGCTTATCATCTCAGGAAGAAAGTCCAGAAACTTGCTTTTTAAAAAAATTCTCAGGACACTGAATTCCCCCTCCTCCAGTTTTACTTTGTGATTTTTCTGGGCTTGGGCAGACTCCTGTCACTCCCAAGATCAGGTAAAAGTCTGGTTCTTTAGAGAGGTCAACAAAGGAATATTAATCAGCAGCTTCACCAGTGACTTTCATATTTTCCTCAGATTGAAGGCAGAGGAGAGGATGAACTAAGAAACACAACCTAGAGTATGCTTCTGACTTCTGGAAGAGAGGTTGCCAATGTGGGAAGGAGCTCCACTGGCTAGCAGTACTGCCCACCTTCTCAGCCATGGCATGTACTGGCAGAGGATGGAGCTCCATTCCTCCTTAGCAACTTCCCAGCCACCTGTGAAAGGCCCCCCCCCCCCCCCCCCAAGAGGACAGGACAGCCAGCAGCTTCTACCTACAACGGTCTTGGACATGATGGAATCTGAGGAGAAAGACCTCTCTCCTCTCCCCTGCCTTGTTTCCTCTGGTGCTTAAACAGCAATATGAGCTGCATACAAAGGCCTGTCATTTTTTTTTAAACTGAAACCTTATCTCCCTTTTTCTGGTACTCCTGAATATTCCTTTGAGTCACAGAAGGCACTGGAGGTCCTCTGTGGAATGGTAAAGGCGCCATTAAGTTCCTCTCCACTCCCTCAAAAAAATGTCCCGCCATTCAAAGAACATCTTTGTGGCTCAGACACAGCAGCTGCCTTTATAAAGCACTCCTCCCTTCTCCAGCCAACCACAACAAGCCCCTAAACCAATGATTCAGGAAGGGGTACGTGAGTCTGTTGCTCCCATGTGGTCCAGCCATGCATGCTCTTTACCACCAAGCTCCAGGCCCTGCCTCACTGCAGAATCCCAGTGATGTTCTGGGCAACCATCCGAAATCGTTCTTCTTGAGGGCTTTTATTTCTGGTGGTTCCGGGTGCAATGGGCCAGGGGCCTGCCCTTGCTTTTCCCCTTGTCTCTGGCATAGGTGCGAGAAGCTGTGTCCTCACAGGGAAAGGTGAACTGGAATGCTACCTTCTGGGCAGCCTGTTCGGAGGCGGACTTTTCCAGTGGGCTAGCACTTGTCCTGTGGGAGGCGGAGCTGTCTCTGCTGGGGGTACGGCTGCTCCGAGATCTGTTTTGAGCCCTGCTTCCTGGGCCAGCTTGATTATTAGGACACCTTGTCGATGTTCCCTGGAAACCTGTTATTAAACGTTGCCTGCAAAAGGAGCAAGACCAAGAACCAGTTGAGGAGAGGGCCTTCTCCAGTCCTGCCAAAAGCCTCAACCCTTCACAGGTTGGATAATCTACAAACCAGTCCACTCACCCTGTGGGAGACTGTACCGTGCTGTCTTCACACCTCGCTTTTGCAGACTGAAGCCACAGCTGTGTTGGAGGTACAATCTATGGAGACAGAAATGCCATGTTAGAAGGATTGTAGAGTTTGAAGTCACCTCAAGTCATACAGCTGAGGCCCGGAAATGGCAATGCGAAGTTTTCTGTTCAGGGTGTTCCCTGCAACGGGGCTCCAAGGTTTGAGAACAGAGACACAAGCCACACTGCATACATGACTCTGGTTGCATCGCTATGAGTTTGAAAGCTTTGTGTTATGTGAACAGACCACGCGAAGTCTTTTGCATACCTAACAGCTAATGGGTGATAAGGGGCTTATTAAAAAAGGAACTTGCTGGAGAAATTCAGGGTTTGGGCTGTGACACCCTTCATTTTGCAAGGGACAGAGAGACATCTGGAAGCAATTTGAGTTTGGACACAGTGGAGCAGACAGCTGAAAAGTTCTCAGCTGGAAATGGATAACATTGAAGCATCTTTAGGATGCAGTCGCTCTTTTGGGACATCTAGTTTGGGTTTGGCAGTAGTGCTGCTTGCTGTAAAAGTATGTCTGCTTCTACTGTGTTCTGCTTATATTTTTGTCAACTGAAATAACAAAGATATAAGCCTCTAGCTGCCACCGTTCATCCAGAGGAAACCAAATTCTAAAGCACCATCCCTGGACCTCTCACTGCCCAATACCCATGTGGCGGGAGTGCTTCTGTTGCTTAACCCTTATGTCTGGGTTGCCAACTGATGCCACACAATGCTCCTATGAGGTGTCTCTGAAGGCAGGGGCTCCCCTTCGGTGCTTTCTCTGGCACTGCCCACCTACTTTTGGTGCTTCCTGCTGCGCCACCTCCTTCATCTTGGCCACAGCAGTTCGGAGGTGTGTGTTTTCTTCTTCCAGGATGCTGATGCGGATGTTGTTGGCCTGCAGCTGCTTCCCCATGTCTTCCATGACATCCCCTGTGCCTGCAAAGAAGTATGGGGCCAGAGGTCAAGCCCACTATGTCTGCAAAAGGATCAGGCACTGAAAGGCCAACTGTATCGAAAAGCACATCAAGAAAGTCAGAGACCAGGACTTTGCACCAAGCTGCATCCATGGCAAAGGAGCCTCTCCTCCCCCTTAACCATTCATACCCTGAGCTAAGCCTTAGCTTATACAGCTGCCGCCGACATGGGGAGGGTCTTCCAACAGCCTGGCAAGCTACGACATCTGTTCATCTATTTGGTCCAGTATTTTCCTGACCCCTGACACTACACAGTGACAATGAGTTTGAGAGATCAACCAGGAAGTCCTGCCTGCTTCAAATCTCATTCCCTGGCCAGTGAGCCATAATCTTTCTCAGTCTTCTCTGCCTCCCCCAAATCTACAACAAAGCAATAATAGTTGTAACCAGCCTTGTAGGGTCATTGCAGGTATTACTAAGCTACTCTATATGAAAAACTCTGAACACTCTGAAGTGATACATATGTGACAGATATATTTTTCTTCACCTACTGACCCACCCACCACTTGAGCGAGGGTGGTGGTGAGAAAGGGGTGGCGTGGGGTTTGCCTTCAAGGGATCCGAACCCATGTCCAGTAGGCCCATGTACAGCCTAGCTTGCTCCCCTCATTGGCCAGCCGTTCCTTCCTTTCCCTTCTCCCATCAAAGCTCCATGAGACAATGCTCTTGAGCAGCAGAAATAGCTATGACTGAAAAGATGAAAGGTCTGGAAACAATTGGCTACTGCTAAAATAATTCTAGCATTCTTATCACAATTAAAAATGCAAGGCATCTGAGATTGAAAGTTCAGAATGTCAAGCTAGAAGACAGGTGATGGAAGATGCTTGAAGACCCTCCAAGATCAAGCACGCAAGAAGAATATGAAAGGAGGTCTTGATTCTACCTAAAGGGCAAAGACAAAGATGGTCAGAATATAGAATATTCAAAAGCCTACCCTAGCATAGCCTAGGCTAGCCCATTCTCATCAGCTCTTGGAAGCTAAGCAGGGTCGGCCCTTGTATTTTGATGGGAGACCCCCAAGGAATACCAGGGGTGCTTCACAGAGGCAGGCAATGGCCATCCTCCTATAAACATCTCTTGCCCTTGAAAACCCCTCTAGGAGGTCTCCAAAAGTCAGCTGCAGCTTGACATCAAAAGGGGGGGGGGACACGAAAAACGGCTACAGGATTTGTTAGTTCCTTACTTTCAAACTGTGTCTCCACAGGGAGATGAAGATCTGGGAAGTTCACCAAGAGTCTTTCCCTCTCTTTTAGCTCCTGGTTCATCTCTCCTAACTTTGATATAGTCCTTTGGAGCTCAGATACGGACTGCTCCATGCTCTGCTTTTCCTGCTGTGTTGTCTCCAAGAGTTCCTGCATTGAGACAGGAGGTTAAGCTTTCCAAACTTTCCTGGATGCCAGAGCCACAGAATGAAGCAACATTATGCATGCCGGTTTACTCAGATGTGCCAGGAGGAGATGGAGACTAAGACCTTGTTCTCATAACTAGAAGAGGGGGTCTTGTCTGTATCAGTGTGGTGTTGTGGCTGGACTAGGACCCACGTTCAAGTTTATACTCACTGTGAAACTCACTGGGTGACTTTGAGCCAGTCACATTCTCTCAGCCTAATCTAACAAACTTGTTGAAAGGATAAATTGGAGGAGGGGTGGAAAGGAAGAGGTAAAAAGAGCCAAAGAACACGGAGTCATGGAATGGAACACTCCTCCAAGCAAAACAGATTTCCTGCATATAGAAAACTAGCATGTCACGGGAAAGACCCTTCTCCCCACCCTGCTAATTTCCTAGAAAAATCACCTTTAGGTGGGAAGGGAATAGGGGAGCATTCAGCTGTGTGATCTTCATCTGCTATTTGATGTGGTACAGTCCAGACACAGGCATAGAGGAGGGGTTGGCAGCTAGATTTTGGAGAGGCCAGTTTTGAAGAGGTGTGATGTGGCAGGAGAGCAAACATACCTACCCCTGCCCAAAGAATGGACCTGCCACATACCACCCTCATTGGGCTGGCATTCCGGCTCCCTGTCATTCATAGT